GTGGCTACAATGTAGCTTGCCATCGCCTGTGTGTGTGTGAATGTGTGGATGACTGGTTGTGTAAAGCGCTTTGGGGTCCTTAGGGACTAGAAAAGTGCTATACGTTGTGTTGTGATGTGTCACATCGTGTCGTGTTGTGTTATATGTAGTGCCGACGTAGGACAGTTTTCCAATTTCATTGTACTACTGTACTATGTATGACTGTGCAATGACAATAAAGAGTTATCTTATCTTATCTTATCATACAAATACAGGCCATTTACCATTTGAAACATTCAAAGACTCACATTTTTTGGCAGCAAACTGAAAGTACCCAAAGGACGACTTGGTTCGTTGGTGGAAAGCTTTCTAATGTGCTGATTATCTGCAACATTTAATTATGACAGAGTGGGTTGAAAACAAAAAGAAGGTTAATCCTTTATTGTATGAAGGTAAAAACAATCAAATTGAGTATAAAGCAGAATTCAAAACCAAAAGGAGATTTGGGGGAAAAAAAAAATTCTTTATACATAATTGAACAAAATGCAGTGGTTGTATCAACAGGGCTCATCACATTGGCAGCTCTCTTGCAATGTCTTTGCAATTGAGAAAGAATGAGATGAGGGGGCTGTGCTCAAAGCTTCTCTGGGCCCCGAGGCAACACGCTAGCACGCTACTCTCTTCTAAATCAGGAGAAACACTGAGCATATCCTCCTATGCATGAATTAATCATCGAACCAAGCACTATGTTTCTCTCTGTAATCTTTCTCACCGATTAGGGAATTGGAGTTTTGTTTGACCATATTATTTACTTTCGATGCTAAATCTCAAGAAATATTGACACACACCATTAATTTTCATCTAACACATTATTTCACCTGGTAGAACACTGACTTACACTGAAAGGTTAACCAAGGAGCAATGCAATCTTATATTTACACCCAGAACATTGTGATTGGCATTCTTCTCCAGAGCCACCACAGCGATGAGCTGATAATGATGCAGTGTCGTTTTCAAGGACACGGGGATGTTGATTGTTACCTCAGCTGCTGTAGCAAGAATCTGTTTATTCATATTCACAACAAAGATCAGTCTCTCTAATGTTGGGTGGCATATTTTATCTCTTATGAATCCCTCGCATGACGCTAATCCAGGAAATGAAAAGGTCTGCATTCTTCACTATGACAATATCTGGTATTTTGAGTACCGGTCTCAATTCAGACCAGAGTATCTCATCGTGTGTGCTCGTGCAACTGGCTGCCTTTCAATCATTAGACTGTTGTTTGTGATGCCAGCAGATGACTCTGTACGTTGAGCGTGTGCCGTGTCAAGGGCAGACACAGGAAGCAGTCTGCCATGCACTCAAGCATTGCCATTAGCCCATTTGTATCGATTATTTCTGGCATTGCCATCAAGCCTGTTGGCTATTTTTGAGCAGCTTGAGACAGGCACAGATACAGGCCTAAGCACAGCACAAACACAAACAGACCCACAGAATGTTTTTGTTTTTGGTTAATTTTCTCCCTTTGTTCCTCAATGTGAAAAAAAGTTTTCTCTGCACAATCCTGTAGGAAACTAGGTGCACACCTACTGCTTCCTTAGGAATTTAGAGGGTACTACTACTGGCAGCCAGATGCTACTAAGGGAAAAAATGTGACCACTTCTGCAAAAGCAGACGTTTTAGGCAGTTTGCTGGTCTCAGCCATTCAGGTGTGTGTTGATTGAATGCCGCAATCTTCCCAGGAGTAGACATCTCAACAAAAGCTTTCCCCACATACAATGGTCAGACAAATTACAAACAAAAGAAAACAAATGAGCAAATACTAAACACCGCATATCACCACAAAGATGCCATATCGTCTATCAAAACCTAGACTGAATAAGTTTGAATAAAGTAAGAAGAGCTCACCCACCAAACCTTTTCCTCTTTTGGTCCTTTCTTCCCTCTTTTTGGACACATACAGGCAAAATCCCTGGCATCTCCTTATCCAGTGCAGCAGAGGCTGACCCATAAAAAAACCTAAATGAATATCATGATGTTTCCAGTTGAGATAAAATAACTTCAGTCAGCCTCACATACTGGCAAACCTTAAGCCTGGGCTCCCTGTAGCTTAGCAGGGCAGGAGTTGTTCTTGGCAGCCCTCACCATGTGACAGCGATTACATTCCAGCACAGCGCTCTATTTGTTTCACCCTCGGTGTGTGTAATGGAAGCAGCAATGATCAGCGAATGCGCTCTGAGCTGTGTATGTGCGTGTTTCTTCGTGCCTGTTCTGATTGCTTGTGTGAATGTCTGCTGCATAGTTCGAAGCATTTTGAAGCTTCTCTGCAAAAGTGCCAGGGTCATCTTTTGATGGATGACCTTACTTAGATATATCCGAGGCCCTGGTTTGCTCTTACTTGAAACAGAAAACTCATTCCATTCATGCTGAGTGATTGTATGTGTGTATGTTTGGTATGGTTGTGTGTGTGTCCTCACGCTTGTTATGGACTGACAGCCTCTTCTGCAGGGGCCATGGAAAAACAGCTCCTCTCTGATTCAATTACCACAGCGAGTACAGCTGGAGGGGCAACAAGAGGCTAGGGGACATCATGGTCTGGTTCACACAGGTTTTCTGACACAGGGTTGAACAAAGAGGCCTATCAGTTCTGAAACGTGCACTTACAAGCTTGATTTCACCTTTCTGTCTTTTTCTCCTTAAAGTCTCAAAGCTTTCCCCACATGTGATTTCTGAAACTGCCATCGCTGACCTGACACCTAATCCCTTATGTGTCAGAGCCCATCTATGCTGAATTCAATTTGGATAATATTGCCTTACAGTCCTTTTTTCAGTCAGTAATATGGAATCGGCAATGGTGGCATGCTGTTGGTTCAGGTTGAAAGATTATAGATAAGTATTTGCTTAAACTCCATTTAGCAGCATGTAATTAACTAACTTTGTGTCTTGCAGAAGTTCATCTTTGGTGGTTTTCTATTTAATTGCAGCTAAAATCTTAAAGATTTTGCTTTGATTACACATAAAATGTCATCTGAATCAAGTTAGGTTTTTGCAAAGTCCTCTCTCATTTACAGATGTGAGCAGTAACACGTCTTTTTCACTCTTGCTTTCGCTCCCACTCATCATCTTTGATGTGACAGTGCTGGCAAATTGTGATGTGCAGGAATAATGATATTTGAGTGCTGGCTTCTGGTGTGTAATTGAAACACGAGGAAGCTTTCACATTGCCCCCACACTGCCGGCGCCAACTGTGCTACAAAAGCAGTACTTCCCTCAGATATCTCTTATGCTGCTGGCAGGTGGCGAACAGATAACTTCCTTCTGTCATGTGAACCTAGTTCACTTCAGCCTGGAAAATACTGTCATCTACAACTCTGTGCCTCTCACCTTGCACCGCTACCATGTGGCATTCTACATAAAAGACATTGCATGCATCTTTGATTAAAAGAAATAGAATAGTCCAGTATTGCATCTCATTTAGCAGCAGTTACAGAATTTTCAGATTTACCATAAAAATCTCAAGTCATTTTTGACACAGTAAATCTTCTCTGATTTCAGACAAAAGTAGACCAAAAACGTAGCTACTATCCTTGTTCCAACTTTTACTGACTCAAAAGACTGAAAAAGTGTTGCTATCAACTTTTTGTAAGACATACATTTAAAATATCCCCTTGCTTCATAGATTAAAAGACTGCAAAAAAAGAACAAAAGTATTTATATTTAGCAAATATAATAAAGAAAATGTAGCATTGTACTGTCATTTCACCATCACCCTGTCCATGGATCCAGTAATGCTGTCATTGTACTTGAAATTAAGGCATTCATTTATACAGATTTTTTGTGTGTTCACGTTGGAAGTACAGTGTTACATATAGTGCTACTCCATACTCGATCATATGTGTCCACCAATATGTTTAAAGTCTCTTTCTCTTTCTTGCTGATAAACACTTAAAAGGTGCTAAAGTATTTTAACTCTGCATTTTTATGTCCATGTTTTCCTGGTGGCAGTCTTTCCTCCTAGCACTACAAGATGCTTCACACCTTGGCATATTGTTGCTACCTCTGTGTATAAGTTGTCTTTTAAATTATCACATGCTACCTCTCTCTAGCTTAGATAACCAAACATTACCATCTGAAGCTTACTTCAGAATTGATAAACCCAAGCTGTTAAAAAAAGATGCCCGTGTTAAATCTTTAGATTATGAATAATTCAAGATTGTTTAATGGTATGTTGTCTGAGCTTGTTTTAGAATTAACTAAGTTTTTGACTTATTCATCATCTAAACACAGTTTTGACTCTCGTTCTCGAATAAAAATTAAACATAGAGCAACACATTTGTGGGAACATTCTTTGACCTTTTTTAACCTCTCCGCTTCACACCAAACCAGAATGAGTGCCATTTAAGACCTACCATTTAGTTCTTTTATTCAAATGTTAGTGGGTTGTTATCTTGCTGTAGGATGTACACCTGACCAACCAGTCTCTTCCTTTATTACTTGCCCTTTGCTCACCATTCTCGTAGCTATAAAAAGTACTTCCTGCAGTATTGTCCTGATAATGTATTCCATCTGGTGGGAACAACAAAATAATCAGCATAAATTGGGCCATCTGTGGGAACTGTTTGAAAATCTTTTAAGGATTAATTCATATCACTGCTGCAAAAAAGCTACAATTTTCTTTATCCTTGAAAAAGCAAATTTCTCATGAAATATATTTTCATTTCACCTTGGACAGTGTGCTACTTACCTTTAGATTCTTAAGGTTGGACTTCAAATGGAAAAATACCTGGGTGACTACTGGAAAAATAACATGGCATGCAGGTGATATTAAGAGTCATTACTGAATTGCAAATTCAAGTGACACTGCTAATGAGTGGTTTAGAAGTTATCTAAGAAAACATGTAAACATGTTGCTATTGTGCAAAATAGGCTGCAGTGACCAACTGTCATCTGCAGCATTTATTTGGTGAGTTGGAAAATCCTACTGTTTGCTAAAGCAATGTGTTGCTGTGTGTGCTGGCAGGGTGCGGCTAGAGGCTTTCTCCGACAACAGCGGGAAGCTGCAGCTCTCCCTGCAGGAGATCATAGAATGGCTGACGGCCAAGGACGAGGAGCTGTCGGAGCAGCTGCCCATAGGAGGTGATGTGGGAGCTGTCCAGCACCAGAGGGAGTTCCACCAGGTAACGTGGATAATTCCTTTTCAGTACCCAGTTTACAAGATGTGGTTATTCTCAAAAGGAAAATTAGATACACAGCTTATTCATACTGAAAAATTAGCCAAAGAAAACCATATATGTATATAAAATACAACAGAAACTAAAATGCATAAATGCATTCTTTGATTATATGTGATAGAGGGGATAAGATTCTTGCTATATTAAAGGATTTTCTTCTCAATTTTAAAAGCCATATATCTATGTTCATATTAGACAATATGAAATTATACTGGGAGCATGCTCGGGGTCATGTGCTGATAGTTCATTAACCAAAAAGTCTCCATGCTGATGTTTCCTCATGTAGAACACTAAACCCCCCAAATGCCCCTGTTGTGTCAGTATGGATAAATCACTTTGACCAGTATAAAGTCTAGAAAACGCCTAAATAAATACAGCCCATTTACCTGTGTGATGTGTGGTTTTTGAGGCAGTGTTTGCACTTTTTTCTTTTACTTGATAAAAGCTAAAATAGTCCAGATTTGAATCAGGGGAATATTCTGGATTTGAATCTTCAGCAGAGCAGTAATAAAAGCACAAGGATAAGCATGCTTGGAGTTTGCAGATAACAAGTCTCTATTCTGCCAGCTTTTGCAGATATCCGAGATATCGATCAAACCTGCATCTATTGTCCAGGTTGAATCAATACTAGATAACTGAAACTTTCTCCAAGTTTAGCTGTCGTTGATACTATTGATGGAGGCATTGATGGAGTACACTGCAGGATGCTCAGATCTCCAAAAGACAGCTGGCGAATACACAAAGAAACGGGTTTACTAACTAAGTGAAATGATAATGAAAGAAATTCAAACTTTGAAACCCTCCAATCAAATGCAAGCTATACCAGCTCACTTTTTTTGGTTCACTCAGGAACAGCTTAAACAAACTGCTCCAACTAACCAGGTTAATCTAAGGAATGAGCCTGCTCTTTTTCAACTTGACTGAACCACAGCCGCAACTACTATGTTTTTGTAACACACAAATGATATGATATGATTCCTGACATCCACACATATGTATGTGAAACAAGTAAAAGTACCTAATTATAATATTTTTAAAGCTGGAACCTTTACAATTTTGATGTTGTTGCTTAAAAATCAAACTAAGATGGTTAATTAATTACATAGATTGAACAATAGAGCTCAAGCTATTTAGAGGTTTTGTGATTTGTGTGTTTGTCCATCTTTAAGTCATGTTCACAATTCCAGATCACAAATTACATCCATGGCTGGGATTCAGGGGATTAACTGTAGCAGGACAAAGCGCTGCACTTTAAAACCATGATTTTAAAAGATTTTAGAGACTTTTGGGCAAATAAACAGATTCATTAACACTGAGCCACCTAAGGATTAGGCCTCATTCTTTGTGGGTTATGTGTACCACTTAATGGTGATGTGTTTGTTGAATACAAGCAACAAACAAGCATTACCAGTTTAAAGCTGATGGAATTGGTAGCTAATTTAAGTTTTCTTTTTGTCAGTAACAAAGTTTAAGGCTTTAGGGAACATTGACAACATGTCGTCCTCTCAGATAATTCTCTCACGGTTCAGTGATTTGAACTGGCCTGTAAATCTTTCAAGGTCTTGTGTGGAAAGAGGGCCAAAAAAACCCAGGAGCTAACAGAATTATAAGTGATCAATTGAACAAGTCAGTTTAGACCAGTGAATGTTTTCATACTTGTACTGAATGTAAAGATGCTCATAATTTAACTTTGGCTATTGGCTGAAAACTGATTCTGCAGGACTCAGGAGCTCTTGTGACAGGAGTTAAGCTAATTAGAGTGCAGTATGATTATATAAGCTTAATTTATTGTGTATAGCTTTACATCTTCCTAGGTCATGTCCAGCTACTTTTGTTCATATATATATATATATATATACTATTTCCTCCTCAGAAGGGAAATTAAAAATGATATAGGAAGTTATCGAGCAATGTACAATGATCGCTCCCTTTAAAGCAGTCTATTCTTATAGAGGAGTGAAAAAAGGACCACTTCCAAAGAACTGTGGCTGAGATCTCATTAGCCATTTCTTTTCAAGCCTCTTACCCATCTTCATCACCATCTAAAGACACATGGGAATGAGGTGCTTTAATCTAATTGGCTACTCCATTTCTCTTTTAAGGCCCTGCAAACCCACTTAGTGGTCTTTTTCAAGGAAGAAGTTAGGTTGGTTATACCCTATAACATCTCATCACATCTCATCATAACCTAACCTATAACTTATAGGTTAGGTTATGATGAAATGTTGTCAAAGTTAGTCCACCATAGAACTTTGCAGCAAAACTAGGAGAACTGCTGTTTTAATCAATCAGTGTTCAGATCTGATAACAGCATTCAGAATGGGAAGTCTGATTCATACATTGAGAATTCAATTACTTCCAAGAAATTTGTGCTATCATTAGATTTTCCCGCAGTAGTGAGGTAAATCTGCCGAAATTTGTGTGTGACTTTAATGAGCAGTCATCCGGTGACTTTCTCAGTTTTCCATAAACTTGCTGGCGCTCACTGCCCTGTGTGTGTCTGTTTCACACAGCAACAGTTAACACGTGCAGCAATATTTCTGGCCAGTGTATGTCCTTGCCTCACCCTGCACAAAACATGTACTCTGACTCTTAAGGTTATCGCTCTTAGATGTATATGCAATTATTTAAAACACAGCATCATACATCTACATTTATGTTTCTGTCAGGTTGTCACGCTGTCATTTATGTTACTTAATTACCTATAATTGGAAAGCTGGGTCTGTAATTATAGTGCATTAGATTTACCACTAAGTGCATTTCTCTTAACCAACAAAGTTTTAACTGTGATGCTGATCAAAGACAACCTTCCAACATATAAGTGGTGATTAAATATATTATTTAGAAAATACATCAAAAGGAAGAGAAATTTCACATGCATTAAATCTCTTTCAGCTCAGGGTTGCAGAGGGTGATGGACCCACTTGACTTTGGGTGAGAGGCAGGGTATTTGCAGGACAAGCCATCACAACATCACTGATCTAAAACAGAGATTATTAAAAGGTGAAGTTGCTGCATGTTATCACACCTGCAACAACTGAAAATCATCAGTTAACATGACACATATGTGGTATGTCTTTGAGTGCGTATGCATTTCATGTTTCATGGTGTTAGCATAAAAAGGTACTCCACCATAATATCTTAACAGCTGATTTGGACTTTTACAAACAAATCAAGTATAATAAGTGGAATTTCTGTGTTTAGACTACATTGTTGCCATACTTACCATACATGCATCCAGTTTCCAAGCTCTATTACATCAGACTTGTTCGATTTAACAAGCCAGCATAATGAGTGCAAGTTTCAATATTTTGTCAGTGAATTTTTATTGACGAGATCAAAAGAAAAAAATGGATTTCCTGTGTGTTAATGATACCCACTGGTGGCACAACCATAGAAATCCCAGGATGTCTTTAAGGGAGGGAAATCTTTCAACTGAAATCTTTTTAACTTGACATGTCTTCTAGCCCTGTGTGCAGTGTGTTAGTGGAAACTCATAAAGTTGGTACAGACAGAAACTGCCTAGCAGGCAGCTCTCCCTCCCTTTCTGTGTGTGTG